TGCTCCCGCCCACGGGAAGGCCACGGCGTAAGGCGGAGGCCGCGGGGAGCGCGGGGATTGGGGCTCAGGAGACGCCACCGCTCCCGGCATGCTGTTCCCGAGTGCGGCTCCTTTGGGTGTGGTGGCAGATCCCGACGTCGGGAAGTCCGCGGGCCTGGGTAGGTGCGGAGCACGCTTGACACCGTGTTGGTACAGGCAAGCGTCAGTCATCGGGGCATGCAGCTTAAGTGTGGTAACTTCCAAAAACCCAGGGCACTTTGTCCTCACCGAGAGTGTGACCAGACCCTGCTCCTACTTACCTGGCAAAACTCGCTCCCATACCCGGTTCCCTTTGTATCTAGTCCCTGTCACGTTCTGCTCATCTCTCTCCCCCTTGTCTAATCCTGCAGAGGACTGTGCGAGCCAGTGCACTTAGCTGCACTACTCGGGTTCTTCACCATGTTCCCAAGTAGACTGCGTTTCTGTGTGAGCGAGGGACCGTGCCGCACTTAATCTGTATACAGTCGCCTGAACTCATGTAGGACCAGACGAGCTCAAAAAGTACTGGCGGGCATACCTCATATTAACACTGAGGTAGGAAATATATGTGACGACCGAAGGCTTACTGTCACCCTTTTCCTTCCCAGAGCTTTAGGAACTTCAGGGATGGTCATCACTGGCTCCCATAGGCCTGTTTCAGATCTCACATGGTGGTATTCCATTCTACCACATTCTTTTTAAATTTAACTGTACTAATTTATTTTCATTTGACGAGAGAGAGAGAGAGAGAGAGAGAGCAAGGTCCAGAATTTGAACTGTGGTCAACCATGTGGAAGTCCAGAACCTTTAACCACCACGCCATACCAACTGCTGACCCCTACAACATACATCTTTAGTGTCTTATGTACCCAGAAAAATAAAAATAATACACCTTCCTAAAATTCTGATTTATGGTATTATGTCTCTAAGACAGATGTTCAAAGTTAACTTTGTAGACTTCCCAGGTCATCACAGTTCAGATTTTAGACATTGCTCCATTCCCATAGCTGAACTGTGGGATGTGGTCTCTATGAGGAGCTGGCCAGAGTGAGGCATGCATGGCACCAGCACTAATTAACTTGTCCTTTACGCCATTGTCGCTGCAGTCAGGCTGAGAGTTACAGGATTGTTCTTTTAATAAACAAAAAGAGCATTTGTTATTTCCCAGCCTTGGCTCTCAATCGAAACAAGCTCAATTAGGCGGCGGTTCTACTTAAAATCATTATATTGGGGGCCAGCAAATGGTGTAATGGTTAAGGTGCTGGACTCCCACATGGCCAACCTTGAGAAATCACACCGTGTGCATGTGCATGTGTGCCCAAAATCCCAAGAGAAGAATGGAGGAGAAAGGATTGAGGTGTGGCCATCCCCCCTGAGGAGGATTATTTCTCATTTTCCCTCTCTCTCTCCAGTGAGTGAATGTGCCCTGTGGCAAAAGCCTAGAAAAAAACCATTCCATTGATAAAGATGGTTTTCCAAATCTACTCCCCTCCCCCCACCCCTGGTTTGTCAAGCCCCCTTCCTGGTCTCATACTGCCTACAACCACCAAAATAAAAAAAAAAGCTAAGCCACGTATTCAAAGCATCCCTGCACATGTGCAGCCACAGCTAAAATGGTGTAAAAGCAGCCTTTCTCCAACCCACTTCCAAAACAATTAGGTTGATGGATACTCTTTAATATGAAACTTTTCTCTCATTATCTTAAAAACATATTTTCTGCTCCTACTTGACTACCAGTGAAAAAAAAACAAACCATGAAGTAGTAATTCAGTGGTAAGAAAACAATCAGAGCCAGCCAATTTTGCCCTGCTGGCCATGTAGCACTTGTGATTTTACACCGCACAACATGGCTGTATCTTCTATCTGCACCCCATTCCTCCTTAGTAGGGAGTCCAGTTCTAGAGAGCAGACCCTGACTTCCTGGTGTCCAGTCACCTGAGAACCAGTGTACAGAGGTAATATGTGAGCAATATGTCCAGATTCTTTCAGGGACGTTTTATCCCTGATAGTGCACAACACAGACAGACAGAGAAAGCCTCCATAGGGCCGTCACACAATTCAGTCCTTTAGCTTGTCAGGATCTTGGGCATGTGTACACCCCTGCTCAGCATGTGTTCGTGCCAACTGGGTCAGGGATTTGAACTGAGGTTGCTATATGGCTTCCAGCACTGAGGTCTGGTAGGCTATTGACTATGCCATCAAGGCTGGGCCCTGAGGTTTTTAGCTTTTCCTTATTCTCAACAAGTGTGCATGGGGGTGGAAGGGGGAGCACCCGCCAGCGTCTGCTCAGGCAGCAGTCCCCTTCCTATAGTCCACTGGGTCTTGTGTGCTGGAGTGGCATGTTTCAGGCTGACTAGGCTGGGGATTCGAGCTGCAGTTGCCATGTGAGGTCCTGCTTCTCTTGGACAGCCCATTACAGCTGTGCCATGGAGCTGGCCCAATATTTATTTCTGAAGTGACTCCAGGAGAGGGGAATGTTCCACCCAAAGGAATGAAGCCAGAATGTCAGGAGTTACTTGCTTTCAGAAAGCCTTGAATCACATCAGCTTTAGTCCTGTCTGGATTCTTAGTTACAAATGAGTCAGTGGAGATTAAAACAATCAACCAACCAAACAAGTAAAAGTAGCCAAGAAAGGTAAGACATTTTATTTTACATACAAAAAGGGTGCAAACTGAGTCCTCTCCTCCCCAAACTGGGGAAGAGGTATGCTTTAAGATCACATTTGTGTTTTCCACGGTGCCCTAGGAAATGGGCTGCTCTGAGATAACATTTTGAGGACCCATTTTCCATTTTCTCCAAAGAAGGCTACTTCCTCTGCAGAGGAGTTTTTCTAATGGTGTACAAATCTCTCTCCTGAAGGAACCATTTCAAATACACCTGAAATTGACATTCATATTTAAAAATACTACAAGTTTCATTTTTCACAGCTGAGCTTAGCGACCAGTGCCGGGATTTATGAAACATTACATATCTTAAAAAAAAGTTTAAAAAGGCATTAATAATAATCAGACACATCCACACATCAATTAAAACCAATTTCCACAGCTGATTTATACATTATCTAGTTTTAAAAAAATTGCAATCAACATCCCAACATCGCTTTAAGAGTACAATGGGTAAAGATGAAAGAAACAGACATATAATAATATAATAAATTAGAGCATGTAATGTATCCAATGGGAATTGCTAAATTAACATTTTCCATTGGGGGGGTTTATAGCATTTTTGGTTTCATCTCTATCGTTTCAGCTGTTACTCTCTCTGCTTAATAGATGGGCTCATTCCCAGAGCCAGCTTGCTGGGACACTAATTTGAGCTCACTTGTCACTTGTTTTCCTCTGAGAATTCTCAGGAACACACAGTTCCCAGCAGCCAGGGCTGTTTTTATGGAAGTGAAAAGCACACATACATGCACACACATGCAACCACACACCCCCATCTGCATATATATTTCCCTCCAAAGAAATGGCTCATCTTTCCTGAGACATTCCTAACAGACTGATAAGCCTAAGAAGACTTTCGGTGCAAGGGCTGGCCTGGATTTGGTCTGGAGCTCATGAAGAGGAACACTGACAATGTCTCACCTGCCCTGAAAGAGGGGCTGGAGGGCAGTCAGGACGGCTGTCCTCTTATGTGTTACAGGGTTGACTGCACTTCGCCCCGTTTATTTCCATGCATAATCCTCTGCTCTGAGACCCAAAGGGTGGTGATGGCACCAGGAAAACTGTGAGGAGTAAAAGAAGAAAAATAACAAATTCTATCCACAGAATGAGGTTCTTTGTAACATCAAGTTTGGTAATCAAACTAGAATACATGTTCACTTTTTCCTTTGTAAGCTCATCTAGAAATACTGGAATGGGTTTCTTGGTTGCTTTTTGAGAAAAATGTCAACTACTATTGTCTATATCCCAGGAACCTATTTACTATTTTGAATACAATGAGAAACCTATTCTTTTGCACTTGAGTCACCTGCAAAAAGTTAGGAAAAGTGTTATTTTTAAGACTGCTTACTGGATCAGACTTCCAAGATTCCTTATTCATGGCTAAAACACTGTTCCAAGTCTACAAACCCACAGAAGGGCTACGATTGCCTCTTCTTTCTGATCCAGAAACAGTATCATCCCCTACCCCCTCAAAAAAAAAAAAAAAAAAAAA